AGAGGCACATCATGCTGGGCAGAGTGGAGGGACAGTGCAGGAGGGGAAGACCCTCTATGAGGTGGATTGATTCAGTGACTGGGGTAATCGGGATGGATGTGTCAGAGGCATTGAGATTGGCACAGGATAGAGCATGGTTTAGGACTGTTGTACATAGGGTCGCTATGAGTCACAAGCGACTCGATGGCACGTAACAACAACAGTATTATTAATAAGGAACCTTGGTGACATAGTGGTTAAAATGCAGAGCTGCTAATCTTGAAGTTGGATATTGAAAATCCACCAGCTGCTCTGAGGAAAAAGGATAAGGTACTCTGATTCCATAAAAAGTAAGGATGGACAGTCTTGGAAAGCCTATGGGATGGTGCTGTCCACCTGGTAGGGTCAGTGTGAATCAGAATCGTTGTGCTGAAGGCGAGTTGGTTTAAAAAGAATAATCCTGTTTTGATGCATGTTGCTGTATAGCTCCTACTTCTTATTGCAAAGTACCATATGTACCTTGTCTTTTTAAATTTTATATTGGTTTGCATAATAATTTAATATATATTATTTCACACTTCCTTCAATCACGTTGTGCTTTTATACAGTCATTCTCCAGTTATTGTTGTTATTGTTATGTTCCATTGAGTCATCTGCTTCTCATAGTGACCCTATGTACAATAGCTCTAAACCCTGCTCAGTCTTTAGCCAATATCATCTGCAATAGATCCAATCCTACTTCACCGATCACTGAGTCGATCCATCTCATCCTGGGTATTCCTCCCTTGTGCTGTCCCTCCACCCTTCCAAGCATGATGTCCCTCTCCAAGGACTGGACCCTTCTGACCACATGCACAGAATATGTGAGATGGAGCTTCAGAATACTTATCTCCAAAGAGCAGCCTGGTTTCACCCTGTCGAGGACAGACCTATTGGTTCTCTTGCCAGTCCACAGTATGTTCAACATTCCTTTGCACCACAGTTCTAAGGCATCGATCCTACTTTTGTCTTCCTTAGTTATTGTCCAGTTCCCTGAGGCATAGCAAGTAATTTCAAAGACAATGGCTTGGATCAGAGAGAGGCACTTTAGCCTTGAGACTGACTTCATTGCTTTTCAGTACTCTAGAGAGGTTCCTGACAGCAGACATTTCCACTGCAATTCATCTTTTGATTTCCTCACTGCTGGTGCCAAGAGTATTGATTGTGGGGCTAAGCAAGCTGAAGTTACCAACAATCTCAATCTCTTCTCCATCCATCATGAAGCTGCCACTTGGCCCAGTGGTGAGAATCTTTGTCTTCTTGATGTTGAGCTTCAAATAATATTGAAAGCCACAGTCCTTGACCTTCTGCAGCAAACATCTCTTCAGTTTTAGCAAGCAAAGTTGTATCATCTGCATAACGTAGGTTGTTGATGCATCTTTCTCCAATCCTGATGTCATATCCCTCTTCAAAATGTCCAGCCTCCTGAATAATTTGTTCTTCATATAGATTGAAAAGGTTTGGAAATAGGATGCATCCCTGATGCATACCTTTCCTGATCCTGCTGATGAGTGCTTCTTGGTCCGAGTATAAGTTTCGCATATGCACAATTAAGTGTTCTGGGATTCCCATTATTCTCATGGTTAGACACAGTTTATTGTACACAGTCAAATGCCTTTGCATAGTCAATGAAACACAGATAGACATTCATCTGGTACTCTCTGTTTTCAGCACAGGTCCATCTGATGTTGAGTGTGATGTCCGTAATGTCACAGCCTCTTCTAAACTCAGCCTTCACATCTGGCAGTTCTCTGCTGATGTATTGTTCCAGTAATTTCTGGATAATCTTCAGCAGGATCTTGCTTCCTTGTGATATTAATTTAATAATTTCCACACTCTTTTGGGTCACCCTTTTTTTTTTGGAATGGGAATATAAATACAGATCTCTTCCAGTCAGTTGGCCAGCTGGTTGTCTAACAGATTTTTTGGAATAGCCTGGTGAGCACGTCCAGGGAAGCATCTGCTTACAGCAATATGTCAATTGATATTCCATCAATTCCTGGAACCTTGTTTTATGCCAATTCCGTCAGAGCAGCTTGACCTTCCTCCTAGATCATCATAGGTTCTTGCTCATGTATTATATAATGTAATTCTTCTGTGTCAGCCAATTCTTTTTGGTATGTGTCTCTCTGATTGTTTTGATTTTTTTTTAAATTTTTTACTTATTTTATTTTATAATGATTTATTTACACATTTTGAATACATCGTTTTTCACACCGGACCCTTCCCATTTCCTTCACCCTTCAACCCATCGAATTGTGTGACCCTATTGATTACCATCCCCACTCTCCCTGGCCTTGCTCACCCCTCTGCTTCCACCTCGCTCTCCTTGGATCCTTATGCATGAACAACGATTTTGTAAATTATTTCCCAACTTGGGAGGCACTGGAAAGCATTATGCTGAGTGAACTAACTCCGTTCCATAAGGACGAATACTGTATAAAAATCCATCTTCTTTTGATGTTTAGTGGGTCATTCAGCATTCTACCTTCCATATCCTTAAGTATTGCAAATTGGGGCTTGAATTTGTTCTTCAGTTCCTTCAGCTTAAGAATGCTGAGCGAGTTAGGCTCTTGGTTTTCCAACTCCAGCTCCTTGCACATTTCATTATAATACTTTGCTTTGTCTTCCTGTGTTACCTTTTGAAATCTTCTGTTCAGCGCCTTAACTTCTTGATTTCTTCCCTTTGCTTTGGCTTCTTGGCCTTGTAGTGCAATATTCAGAGTCTCTCCTGATAACCATCTTCATCTTTTCTTTTTTGTCTGTCTTTGCAGTGACTTTTGCATTCTTCATAAATGATATTTTTGATATCTGCCCTTTGCTCTTCAGTGCTCAAGACTTCAAACATGTTCCTGAGATGGTCTTTAAATTCTGTTGGGATAGACTTGAGGTCATACTTTGGTTCTTATGGCTTTGATTTTATTTTCTTTAGCTTCACTTTGAACTTGCACATGAGAAGTTGACGGTCTGTTCCACAGTTAGCACGTGGCCTAGTTTTCACAGCTGATACAGAACTTCTGTGATTTTTCCACAGATATAGTCAGTCTGATTCCTGTGTAGACTATTAGGTGAAGTCTATGTGTATAGTTGCCACTTATGTTTCTTATTAAAAGTGTTTTCAATGAATAGATCATTGATTGAAACAGAATTCTATCATTCTATCTTGGTGTCATTTCTGTCATCAAGTTCATACTTTGTGACTACTGATTCTTCCCTGATCACTGATCTATGCCCACTATTATCCCATCTTTTGAGATCTCCACTTGATCTATCTTATCTTACTTCTTTTACCCGCTACCCACCAAACTCTGTGAGTTCTTCCGTCCTCAGCATCATTCGCCTTAATCTCCTCCCCGTCCCCCTTTGGACTTTTATCCACATCTTACATCTTCTATTTTTATAATAATAGTCTTATGCATTATTTGTCCTTATCAGACTGAGTGAGTTCACTCAGCATTATACCTTGAATTTTTAATATGCTGGGCTTTATATTATATAACTTGATTCCTAATTGCAAGTTGTGTGTAAATGTTCATTACCTGGGACTACCTATACATTCTGTACTTTCTTTCAAGCTAGTTTTCAAAAGTGAGTAATTTGAAAAATCATACAATAAAAGAATTGCAATTTTAGTTAATTTCTTTATATTTGGTGAAGAAACTTTATATTTGAGCAACTTTATGTTTGATAATATGAGTTTATAGTGTAAAGTTTAAATAGAATTGCTTTCTGATATCATTTAGTTAATAAGTTCTGTATGAATTGTTTTTCTTTCTTTTTTTAAAAAATAGACAAAAAATTTGGAGTGAAAGCTAGAATTAATGGAGCTCTGAATATAACCCTAAATTTGGTCAAACAGAATTTGCAGAATCTTCGCTTAGTTCTGCCTTGTCTTCAACTTTTACGAGTATATTCTGCTAACTGTGAGTATTTTGGACAATTTTTTTATTAACTCAATATTGTAAAATTGTAGAAAACTAAAAAATTGAAAGGGCCAAATTACTGAGTAAATTATTCTTGCTGCTTTTAGTTTCTAAATCCAGCTGCCACAAAAGGGATGTGTGATAAGCAGGTGATGTCAAAATATTGAAAACTCTTAAGAATTTTATAAAGTGTTAAAATGAGATGAATGAGTAAGTAGACTGGGAAAAGATTTGAGAGAATATGAGGGTATTGGCACCTGTAAATCTACAATTGCCTCCTTGATGTTTCCTGATTGGGAGGACTTTGCAGTCAGTGGAGAAGTGTCATGACAGAGACTGACGTAGCTGATAGGAAGAGGGATTATAGAGAGATAGTCTTGTTCCATTGTTTCCCACACACATTTTCATTAAAAATCTTGAATTTGTCCCACTTGAATTTTAAGAACCATCTCAAAAGTAGATTTGAAGTATATATACAAAATCAAAGGCCAATGTTATTCTCAATTGTGAGAGATTGAAGGCATTTCCCCTTTGAATAGGAACCTGTCAAATTTGTCCTTTATCACCATTCCTATGCAGATAATGTTGAAGTCCTATCTAGAGTCATAAGGCAACTAAAGGAATTCAGAGGCAACCACATGTCAAGGTGGAAGTCAAACTATCTGCTTTTTAAAATCTGTAGATTTTATCCCCTCAATAGAAAAATCTTGAAGACTTACTGGAAACATTATTGGATTTAAATTTCCAGTTTAATAAAGTGGCAGATGTTAAAGTATTAAAAAAAAAATAATCAGTAGACTTTGTCTACAGTGACAAAGAGAACTCTGAACAGTAAGTAAGGAAAACTATGCAATTTACAATACCGCTAACTGTAAGAATGAAATACTGAGGGATAAAATAGAACCAGAAATACAAAAGACCCTTCCAAAGAGCAGAGCCCTGGTGCCCTCTGCCCAAGCACAAAACTTAAACAGCTGGGAGTCAGTGAAAGCCTGTTGAGTGCCCGTCTCCCTGAGAGCTTTCATGGATTGCTTCTCTATCCAATGCAAAGAAAGTTGGACTCTCTCCAGGAGAACTATTAAGTGTGGAGTTGGCTGAAGCCCAGCATTTGATAGGAACATAAGAGTTTTCTTCTCTTGTGCTGACCGTCTACCCTTCCAAGCATGATGTCTTTCTCCAGGGACTGGTTCCTCCTGGCACCATGCCTAAATTAGTGAGATGGAGCTTCAAAATCCTTGCCTCCAAGAAGCAAGTTAGTTTCACCCTCTCCAGGACAAACCTGTTTGTTCTCTTTGTAATCCATGTTATGTTTAATACTCTTCTTCAGAACCACAACTAAAAAACATCAATAATTCCTCTATAATTCCTATTCATTGTCCAGCTCTCAGACACATAACAAACAATGTGTACCTTAGTCTTTAGACTGGTCTTTTTAGTGATGTATAAATTCTGAGGTGAGTGCTACCCAGACTCTGGTTTTCTAATTTATAATATTAAGCCATTTTTCTAGGTTCTTAAAAAAATACCCTTGTAAAGATAAATAGAAAATACTACTACAAGAAATCCTAAGAGACATAAGTAGAAAAATATACCCTATTCATAAATTGGAAGAAATAATATTGTGAATATAGCAATATTATTAAAGCAATCTACAAATACAGTAGAGTCTCTATCGTTATACAGTCATCATTTTTCAAGGATATGTAAAAAGTAGTCACTAACTTCATATGGAAAAGAAAATGCCCCTGGAAAAGTAAGGAGATGCCGAAGAAGAAAAACAGAATAGAAGGCTTACAATTTTGAGTTTCAAAATCTATACCACAGTAATTAACAGAGCAAAGTACTGTTACAGTGATAGGTACACTGACCAATGGAATAAAATTCAGAACTTAGGAGGAAATTTTTACACACACACACACACACACACACTATTGGTACATAACAAAGAAACTAAATATATTAATTAACTGGGTGAAAAATAGTCACTTAAACATATGGTACTGGCAGAATTGGCTATCCATCTGAGGTTCATACTTGACACCAAATAAAAAAGCTAACTCAAATCATAGCCCTCAGAGTAAAATCGAAAACTATAAAGGACATCAAAGAAAAAAATTGAGGCAACCTTAAGAGCCTTCAACTATAGCTTAAGCGTTGTTGTTGTGTGCCTTCGAGTCCCCTGCGACTCATAGCGACCCTATGTACAACAGCCCTAAACTCTGCTCTGTCTTGTGCCAGTTGTACTGTCTCTGACACTCCCACCCTGATTACCCCAGTCACTGAATCAATCCACCTCATAGAGGGTCTTCCCCTCCTGCGCTGTCCCTCCACCCTCCCAAGCATGATGTCCTTCTCCAAGGACCGGTCTCTCCTTACAGCATGTCCAAAGTATGTTAGATGGAGCTTCAAAATCCTTGCCTCCAAGGAGCCACCCAGTTTAACCCTTTCCAGGATGAATCTGTTTGTTTTCCTAGCAGTCCATGGTACTCTCAATACCCTTATAGCTTAAGGAGAATATTAAATAATGAATGTAACTGATGTACAGTTAACAATAGAATTAGATACGTGAGACCTGCTAAAATGAAATATTTTTTTTAATTAAAGTTATTTATTCCTGATATACAGATAAAATGAAATCTTTATGTCATTCAAAAAATTCTGTAAGAGAGTAAAAAGAGAAGCTACACATTATGAAAACAGTATTTGCTAATGACACATCTGATACCTGATTTTTGTAACATTCTAACATTGCAACAAGAAAATAAAAATTAACTCAATCACAAAATAAGGAGAGGATATTAATAGCATTTTACCAAAGACTACTTCCTGACTAACAAGCATATGAAGAAATGCTCAAGTTCACTTGGCTGTCAGAGCAATGCAAATCAAGACAGCAATGAAATATTCTCTCACTACAGCATAAATAACACTCTTCAGGGAGACATTAAACACTAAGTGATGGCCAGCATGTGGGGAGATGGAAACTCATTTACTGTTGATGGGAATGGAAAATGATGTAACCACTATGGAAAACAATTTGGTGCTTTCTTTGAAAGTTAGTGGAAGTAGGAACACCATTTGATCCTCCTATCCCAGTACTAGGCTATATATCCTAAAGAAATAAGAACTGTAACACAAGCAGGTAAATTCACTCTCATGTTTATTGCAGCTGTATTTATAATATTACCACTATTCTTTCAATTTGCCATACTGTGTTGGCATGCAAGTTGCTGTGATGTTGACCACTTAGCAACTTCATGATAGATGGAGAAAAAGTTTAAATTGGCAAGGGTTTAATTTTAATTCAATTGACAGTCAGTATAGATGGTAGCAACAGTCAGGAAATCAAATGATAAGTTGCATTGGCAAAACTGGCTATTGAGGAACTCTTAAAAGAGCAAAGACATAAGTAAATGGAGTAGAATGTGCCTGACTCGGGCTAGAGTATTTTCATTTGCTTCTTATCCATATGAAAGTTGCACATTGAAGAAAGATGACAGAAGAAAAATTGATGCTTTGAGTTATGGTATTGGAGAAGAATAATGAATATCTCATGAATTGCCAAACAAGCAAACAAGTCTGTCTTGGAGGAGGCACACTCTGGGTGCTTTTTAGATGGTGCCGTTTGCCTTTAAAGTGGTGAAACTTCTTTGCACATTCTTGAAGGCCTGTTGATGGAAAAAGACATCATGCTAAGAAAGGTAGAAAGTCAGTGAAAGACAGTAAGACACACAATAAAATGGATTGGCCCAATGATTACATGGCAGAGATTGTGATGATGATGTAGGTTAGAGCATGATTTCAGTCTATTGTTCATAATATCTCTTATGAGTCATAGTCAACTTAATGGTACCTGACAACAGCATTTATAATAACAAAGAGCTGAAAACGATCCAAGTGTCCTTTACAGGATGCATGACTAGAGAAACTGGTATATTCACACAATGGAGTGTTTTGAAGGATTGACACAGTGACTGTGGCGGTTCAGTCAGGTGTGTCAGAGAGAGGTGAGGCTGGCTCAGGATAGGGGAGCGTTGCTATCCATTGTAGTTGACTTGACGGCAACAAAAATGTTAAAAATTAACAAAATGCTACAAGACATGGATTAAATTAGAACAAATTATTCAGAGTTACATCAGCAAAAAAGGACAATTAAAAGTAAGAAATGGCTTATATAGTATCAATCTTGATGATTAACAGAAATGAGGATTGAGGAGAAGGGGAATAAAAAGAAATAAAAATTTTTTTGAAAAGCACATAAATACAGATATTATACATACATATTTTTTAAAAGGAAGTACAGTTCTAGTATTTTCATGTCTATTGTTTAGCTATAAGTTCAGGGAGAGGGAGGGGGATAAAAAGAATAGGTTTGATACATTGATCACTAAAACTATGATACATTGATCATAGACTAACCAAGGTGTGGGATAATATTAAAGATATACATGAAACAAGCAAAAGATCATTAAAATGACTGCAAGGATGGAAAAGACCAAAACAGATGTTTGGAGAAACTCTGCATTTGATCGTCAGCATAGAGAAGCTACAGCAAAAGTAAGAAATAAGAAAGATTAATAAGAAGTATCAAAGTATGGCTTGAGAAAGTATCATAATGAAATGTGCAGACACATAGAGTTAGAAAACCAGAAGCTCTTTATTTCTTAAACTCAAAGAGCTGAAGAAAAGGAAAAAAATTAGACTTCAGTTTCAGTATTGAAACATTCTGTGGGCACAAAATTGAGTGTTAGCAGGAAGTATCAAAAGAAGATGGAAGGAATACACATAGTCACTGTTTTATGCTACTGTAGCGTATGATCAAGAACCAGTGCTACTTAAGAAAGAAGTGCCCCCAGTGGGCACAGGAAGGATATGAACAGACACTTCACCAAAGAAGATGTTCAGATGGCCAACAAACACATGAAGAGATATTCAAAATCCCTAGCTCTAAGAGAGATGCAAATCAAAACAACTATGAGATATCTGGAACCCTTATTCACTGTTGGTGGGAGTGTAAAATGGTGCAGCCACTACGGAAGGCAGTATGGTGCTTTCTCAGAAAGTTGCAAATAGAAATACCATTTGACCGAGCAATTCTACTACTAGAAATATACCCCAAAGAAACCATAACCGCTACCCAAGCAGATATTTGCACACCCATGTTTATCACATCTTTGTTCACAATAGTAAAAAGTTGGAAACAACCTAAATGCCCTCCAACAAATGAATGGATAGAGAAGCTGTGGTGTATTCACACAATGAAATACTATGCTTCATTGAAAAACAAGGAGCTCATGAAATATTATACAAAATGGATGACCCTGGAGGACATTATGCTGAGTGAAATATCTCAGTCACAAAAGGACAAATACTGCATAGTACCACTGTTGTAAAATGTGACTGACATCAGGGTTGGGGTGAGACTGAGAAAGATGAAATAAATGATGTATACTGCATTGAAACAGATGAGGGAGAGAACTGTTTAAAAGTTTTATATGATTAGGTATTATTGTCATGACAGGAGTCCAGAATGAAAGTTACATAGTGGAATGGACTTGAGAAGAGGGATTGTATAACAATGAAAGAATTTTTCTTTTACTTTTCAAAGAATGAACTGGAGGGGGTGGGTAGGCGGGGAGAAAAGTGCAACAATGAATGAATGGACGTCCACAATCTCTGTACATTTTCATTCAAATTAATAATAATAAAAAAGGGAAGAAGTCAAAGCTGCACTAAAGGCATTGATTTGAGAAAAAAAAAAGGTTTTGGGAATTGAGAGACTATTGGAAGTATTTTAGCAAACAGGTGCAGTCCTGGATATACTCAGGAGTGAACACAACTATGCAGAAACACACGCCTTAACAATATTCTTAGTATAAATGACTGTACACCCAATAGAACTCAGTACGGTGGTGATTGAAATCCTTTGACAGATTGTTGGAGGATTGATAAGCTTCCATAAGATCATAGTCTTAAATCAGCTTGGCTGTAACAGAAAACAGCAACATGCTCAGAAGAGGACAGTTTAAGTGCTTAGAGGAAGGGAACTAATAAATAACGCTTTTATAATTGAAATGAACATAAGAAAATGAATTATGTAGCTAACAAAAAACATTAATAACAGAGCAACAATCAGAAGGAAAACAGAAATATAAATAGTAAAGAAAAAAACTGAAAGGGTATATAGTTGTTGTTAAATGCCATTAAGTAACAATAAGTAGTTATATGCACAGTAGCTCTGAACCCTGTCCTGAACCATTCTCATTGTCTCTTTGTTTCATACTTCACTTGCTTTACTTAACTTATTAATAAGGTTATAAGTAATTAATGAGGACTGTAAAGTCTTCATTGCCTCTTACTGAGACCATAACTTCCCAGTGAGTTTTGCAGGTACAACTGAGTGGTTCTCACTTGCTTATTTAGAAAGCAAATCTGATTTCCTTCCCTGCTTTTGGGAAGTTCTAAGTAGCTGAAAGTATGAAGTTATAGAGCCTTTTGTAATTTGTTTCTTAGCTGCTTTTCTCATTTCATCTTCACCTTTGTTTTTGTTCTATATGACATCCTTTAATAACCTGTAACTATTTGTTGTCTTTTCTGTAATGTTCATGGTAACCTTAGTCTTTGGAGATGATTATCCCAGAGCCACATCAATACCTAAACTCCAGTTCCTTTTCTAGCTAACACTTGAAATTGAAAATTGAACCCAAGTATCACTTTCTCCAGAAATATGTTCTACTTTATTCTGGGATATGAACTCTTCAGTGGTACAGCCTAAATTACCTACAATTCTTAATGTATTTATCAAGTAATTTTGTAATTTCATATTTATTTTTTTCTATTCTTCTCTGCATTTGTTCACTAAATACAGAAATTGTACTTGTCTTAGAATCCCCATGTCTAGATATTTAGTGTTACTCATTATATTTATTGAATAAACAAATAGAACTACTTAAATATTTTTATAGTATATTATTATCATTTGTTCATATTATTTTAGAATTTCTTTGCACATACTCATTAAACAAAGAGACACCAGTCTTACCTCTGAATTACTGAATAAAGTAGATCTTAAGAGTAACAACTTTTATTGATCAGTTTTTTGTTTTAAATTTGTGTTAAAAAATAAGTATGCAATTTTAATTACTGAGATTTTATAATAATTTTGTGTGTTTTTCTCATCCCCAAAGCTGTGAATTCAGTTTCCTTAGGGAAAAATGGAGTTGTGGAATTGATGTTTAAAATTATTGGACCATTTAGTAAGAAGAATTCAAGTCTCATGAAGTGAGTAAATGAATATAAATACAACTAAAGCTATTCTACAAGATATACCACTTTGTATATCTTGTATATACCACCTTGTATGACACTGCAGATTTCCTCTGTAATCATGGGCCTCATTATCCCTAACAATGAGCTGGTTCAGTGAAATTTTATCTAAGAACATTTGTTAGTTCTTTAAATAGTAATTCTGTTATGAAAATTTTCTTTTTTAATAAAGTTTAACCTTCCAACTATGTATCAAAATTAGAACTAATATAGTATTTTTATAGTTTAGAATTTATTTTATTGTCCTTGTTTATTAAGTTTAGATTTTATTTTTAATAGATAAAATTATACTTTATAAACATAATTTTTACATTTGTATATAAATATAGTGTTTGTATATATGACATGAACATTTCTAGACACTGAATAAAAGAAAAACATTTATAGAGTATTATTCATTCAGGAGCATTTATTGAGTGCCTGCTATGTTTTTCAGATAGCTTTGCAGTTTTTAGAAAAAGAATTTTCTTCTTTAGTGTGTTTAGCTGAAAATGTCTTAGATGAGTTCATTTTTGTTTTGTCAAAATGTCACTTTTTTGCTGTTCTGATATTGAGCTATTTATTTGTACTCATAGATCTTTCTACCTTAGAAAATGAAATCAGCTTTCAATCCATTGGTTACATTTATATTTTTCTTCAGTGATGTTAGGAAGTATTCTTTTATTAAAAAACTCATCATCGTGAAATTTTGCAAGTACTTATATAGACTAAATGTGATATTGCATTAAGCTAATTAGATTGGTTATATTAATTACTTATATTCAATAATTAATTACTTATATTCAATAATTGAGCTGTGGTGCTGGAGAAGAGTATTGAGAATACCATGGACTGCTAGGAAACAAACAGATTTGTCCTGGAAAGGGTTAAACCGGGTGGCTCCTTGGAGGCAAGGATTCTGAGGCTCCGTCTAACATACTTCGGACATGTAGTGAGGAGAGACCGGTCCTTAGAGAAGGACATCATGCTTGGGAGGGTGGAGGGACAGCGCAGGAGAGGAAGGCCCTCTATGAGGTGGATTGATTCAGTGACTGGGATAATTGGGATGGGAGTGTCAGAGACAGTGTGATTGGCACAGGACAGAGCAGAGTTTAGGGCTGTTGTATATAGGGTTGCTATGAGTCGCAAGCAACTCGATAGCACATAACAACAACAATTCAACAATATCCAATATTCTACTGCTTTTGCTTGATTTAGTCTCCCTCTGCACTGCCTCTTGTTTTGTTGGGTTATTTAAAATAATATCAGGCATTATGTATGTATGTTGTTGTGTACGGTCAAGTCAGAACTGACCAATAGCTGACCCTCCAACAGATTTTCTGAGGCATTTGGGCTTAGTTTGTTTGAAATGGAACCCCACTTTATTCTTCATATTTATACAGTTTTCTGACATAAACAGAAGTAGAAAGATTAGTATATTTACCCTTGAAGCTGCAGTGCAATTCCGAAGGCATGTGGTTTGAATCCAATCCACTGGCTGCATTGAGGGAGAAGGATGGGCAGTTAACTGCTTTTTCTGGAATGTAGATTTTACAGTATGCTCAATATCAAAGAAAGGCCTTTTAGCATTCCACAATATAATTTCTAGCTTATCATATGATATTTAATATTTTCTGATTATCTAAAAAAGTATATTTTATAAACGACTTGTTTGTTTAAATCAGGTCTGTATTCATTGTACTTGCCGATACCTCTCATAGTCTTTTTAAATCAGTATCAAACCCTCTTGTTTTGTTCTATTTGTTGAAGAATGGCTCACTTTTTAGATTAAGAGGACTGTGTGCTTGAGTCCTTAACATGTAGATACTGCCTTAAGATTGTCCTCTCTTTCACTGACCTTTTCCAGCATTTTTTCTCCCCCAAGGACTAGCCCTTCTTGTCCAAAATATGTGAGATAAAGTTTCACCATCCTTGACTCTGAGGAGCACCCTGGTTGCACTTCCTCCAGGTTTTTTCATTTTTGCCTCAAGGAGCACTCTGGCTATACTTTCTTTAAGACATTTTTGTTTGTTAAGCTATCTGTGGAAAAGATGAGTTTGTTTTCTAATTTTGTATCCAGGAACTATCTGCTATTTGAACCATCTGCAATTAAATGCTATTGAGAATTTAATAAATGTTTGATGATGATGAAATGTTTACACTTAAAAGCACAGATAATTTCATGGAAATGTATTGTACCTCTTGGAACACACTGAGAGACACTGTTGTGGGTAACCATTTTTTTTAAGTTATTGAAATTCAGTCCCGTTTCTGCAGTAATTCCTTTTTAAAAAGCACATTTGAATTGTTTTTCAAAGTATTGTAGTGTGTCTTTTTAAAGTTGATTAATGGCAGTTGATTTTTTTATGTGTAAATTACTTGGTTTCTCTACCTTCCCTCTTTTTAGTGTTATTTAAATGAAAGTTTAAATTGTCTTTCCATTCAGTTGTATGTAAAATATTCAGTGTGAAAAAAAGTGTAAACACTGTCCACATTTAGAGTTATCCCTTTGTGTTTTAATAGGTATTAAGATATTTTGACATACTATACTCTCTTTGGAGCCTTAGGCTAAACATTATTAGGAATTTCCTCTTCCCTGACCTCCATCTTACAAAATATTTTAAATTTATTATGTGCTTTTATATGAGTATATTGCTTGATAAGAGTTATAACTTTCAAGTTAGAATGCTAAGAAAATTTATAGAAATTTGCAATTAGGAACTGAATTTATGTTAAACTTGCTTTTGTTATAATGCTTTTTTGCACCAGGGCCTATGATTCTTTAAAGATAAGTATGACTTATTTGTGAGCCCTTATCAGAATATAATAATTCAGATATTGATTCTGATTTAAATACTCTGGCAGCATTGGTTTTCTTCTTAAAATTGTTTTTGGTTGTTTTTAATTGCTATTTCAATCTTACTCATATCTGATTTTAAACTGAAGGTAGAGTTGTATACTGAGAAACACCAGATGCAGTCTTTCATAACAAGTATATATTTTGCAGTACATTATATTATCTAAAAATAACTTACTGATTTACTACTATAGATTAATTTTACTAGTTGTGTTGTTTGTGTTTTCTTGTTGTGTTCACAGGGTTGCTTTAGAAACTCTTGCGGCATTACTAAAATCAAGTAAGTTTTCAAGTACTAGAAATAGTAGTTTACATTTATCTGAGTATTTTATCTGCTGTGTTAAAGAACCTGGAGATAATGATTTAATCTATAACCACTCTTGGTTAGTTATAAAGCTTGATTATCATACTTTAATGTGAAAAGTGATGTGATCATCTAGTAGAGTTGCTGTACATCACACTTAATGTCATATTGTGTTGATCTGTAATTTATTATGTAAATGAATGCAAGTTATTGAAATACTGACTTCTGTTTCTCAGTTATTTAAATAAAAGTAAATACTTGTTAGGAGAGGAAAATAATACAAAGATATTATATAAACCAAATTCACTGCTCTTAAGTCCGTTCTGAACCATGGCAATGTCCATTGAATATCCAAGGCTGTGAATTATAGAAGAGATTGTTTTATTGTTCTTTCATGAGTGGTGAATGAATTTGAACTGCTTAATGCTTAATGGTTCCTTTATGCAAGTATTGTTTTTAAAGAAAATAACACTCTACTGAGAGTGTGTTTACTATGAAAAAATATCTTATTAAACAATTTCATTTCTTTGTAGCATATGATTTTCACTATATTTGTATTAGAAATTTTTTTCACAATAAATTTATATTTATAACATTATAAGAGTGAATCTGGATGTAAAGTTTCAGTCTAATTTAATTTAGACATGAAACACCGTTTTCTGTATTTTCAAGAGTGAAATACTGGAATAAATTTGTTTTACTATGATATGCCTTTGCAGAGTAATGATCTACATTTTATATTTTTAAAAATCTCTAAAATAGTTGTTGTTGTAGTTAGGTGCCATTGAGTCAAGTATGACTCCTAGTGACCCTATGAACGAACAAAAGATCTGAACCTAGTCCTATCCTGCACAATCCTCACACTTCCTGACACACAAGAGCCCATTGCAGCAGTCACTGTTTCAGCTCACCTGGTTGAGGGTCTTCCTCTCTTTAGCCGACCTTCCACCCTTTCCAACATCATGTCCCTCTCCAAAGACTAGCACCTCCTAGCAACATGTCCAAAGTATGTGAGCTGAAGCCATCTTTCTTGCCTCAAAAGAATACTCTGGCTGCACCATTTCTAAAACATTCTTGTTTGTTTTCTTGGCTGTGCATGGGATATTCAGTGCTCTTCTCCAACACCACAGCTCAAAGGCATCAATTCTTTTCTGTCATCCTTATTCATTGTCCAGGTCTCTGATGCATACCTAGTAATCTGAAAGACTATCGTCTGTATCAGATGCACCTTAGTCTTCAAACTTATATCACTACTCCTCAATAATTTGGGAAGATCCCTAACTTTAGATTTTTCCATTGTAATGCATCTCCTTATTTCCTGACAGGCTTGTACCAACGGTGTTAATTGTGACTTTTGGACTATGAGTGCAACACCATTTTTCCTCTGTTTTTCATTCCCTGCATAGTATACCATATGATTATCTGATTCAAAATGACCATACCTGGTCCATTGCATCTCACTAATGTCTAGTATGTCTATATTCATGCGTCCCATTTCATTTTTAACAACTTTCAGTTTTCCAACATTCAAGCTACATGTACAATTCATGTACAATTGTTAAATAATGTTTGTTACTGATCTTCCTCATTTCAGTTGACTTCCAATATGGGCTCTGCCACTACATTACTATAACTAACCTCTTTGTTTAGTGTTCATAGAGTTTTCAAAAGCATTTTAGTTGGGAAGCAGATGGCTTATCCTGCTTTCTAGTCTGTCTTAATCAGGGAGCTCCACCAAAACCTGTCCATGATGGGAAACCCTTTTGGAATTTGACACACAGTGGCAAAGATTTCAGTATCACAGCAAGTATTCTCAAATAATTACCCAAGTAACCTCAGTACAGCAAACTGACAGACAAGTGCAGCAGCACTTAGAATAATGTTCTCTCCACAGTCAATAGCGCTGACTTTTAAATACAAAAGCCAGCCTACCAGATCCTTTTTGTCTACACAAGAGGCTTCCCACCAAAGCTGTATCTTCTTTTAATAATTTATGTTAGGAGTATGAGTAGTTGTTTTTGTTGTTAGGTGCTGTCAGGTTGTCACTACAACTCATAGTGACCCTCTGAACAATGAATCTAACTAAACCTTGCCTTATCCTGTACCATCCTTATTGTCTTTGATATTCTTGAGCCCATTGTTGCAGTCACTATGTCAGTATATCTTGAGGATGTTCCTGTCCACCACCCCTCCAAGCATGATGTTCTCCTCTTCTATTTTTTTTCCCCCCATTTACAAACACTTCTTTATTGCAGACATTTAAGCATAGGTACATGGAAGAAGCTATATTGCAGGTTTTATACACGGTGGTTTAAGAGGCAGCAAGCATCTACCTCTCCCCAACCCCTACCTCCCAAATACAAAGCAGCCTGGAAACCAGTCCTAATGAAACCTCCTGAGTTTGCACTCTTCTCAGAGATCCCTCCAGCCTGTAGCCAGGCAATCTGTGGGGTCTGAGGTAGGCTTTGTCCTCTATCCACGGTTAGAGGGTGGTGGGAGTGGTGTTTACAGGTCAGGTTTAGCTGGGGTACTCTCACCAAACCTAACACTAGCTGGGGCAGCAGCCCACACCCTGAGATTAGTCACCATTTAACACCAAGTTTACATTACCCAGGGGTCTCAAGGCTGAGGCACTAGATTGAGCAAGACCTCTACTCTCAAAGCCGAGGTGCAGAGAAAGTCCCAACAGCTTGAAGGCTGTCAAAGTATGTGCAGCAAGGGAGGGAACAGAAAAGGAGCCCAGAAAACATCTTGCAGAGGTTTGAGGGATGGCAACTGTGGGGCACACAACCCTTCTTCCACAGTTCCAAATCTAGACTCCAACTCAACTGGACCTAGTTCGCATTGGAGTCTGGTTATTCTCACCATCCATCCACTTTTGAGGCAATGACACAAAGTAGTGGAACAGAATCCGAGTTGCCCTCTGCTTCGCTTAGGGCTTGTGGGGCACTGAGGATATGATTCTGACCCTTTGGGGGATTAGGAATGTGAAAAGAGGCCCCCCCTTTATTCCACAAACCTCTGCTTATCTTTGATCTTAATGAGACCCAGCCCAGAGGACCCGTGCCTGAGGGGGTTTTTGTCAAGGTCTCTCCAGCTTCAAGGGATTTTAGGGAATACCTCCTTGCTATAAAACCTAGCTGTCATACCAGAAATATTCTTCCTGTTACTAGGACCCTAAACCTACCTACTGCAAGTGTCAGAACAGACCCGTGTCCTCCTCTATCCACAGTTCACATCTCCAAAGTGGGAGTGGAACACACGCCCTCTAGGCCTTCTGAGAAGCTAGCTTCTGCAGTTTCAACTAGCAAGAACAGTTATTGCTGAATTCAAGCAGAACAGAGACATGGGGTAGGGTAGTTCTTGATGCCTGCCAAACTATTAAACTAATTAAAACTGTTAAGAAAATTTTCGTGGTTTTATTGTATAATGAGGTATTGAAACATCTGAACAAATCAATATCTGGGCGGTGAGGCAGCTGCTTTCTCCTTCACTTCTTTGGGTTACTAGAGCAACTTGCCAGTAGATTAAAAGATGTCTTCCTCTTCTAAGGACAGGGCTTTCATAACAATATGCCCCAAATAAGTGAGACACAGCTTCACCATCCTTGCCTCTAAGGAGCACCCTGGCTGCAGTTTCTCCAACACATACTTGTTTGCTTTTTTGACAGTCAATAGGATATTTAGTACTTTTCACTTGCACCATGACTTAAAGGCATAGGTACTTCTATCCTCCTTGGTCATTGCCCAACTTTCAGAAACATAACAAGTACCAGAAAAGCCTTGGTTTGAATCAGATGAAAAGCTATGCTACTAGTCTTCAAACTGACATTATAGTTCCTTAACACTTTAGAAAAGTGTTAAGCACATTTACCCAATGTAGTATGTCTTCTGATTTCTTGACTGCTGAGTCTAAGTGTGTTGATTATGGATCCAATCAAGATAAATCATTGCGAACTTCAGTCTTCTCTCTATCATGATGTTGCTGTTTTTTTCTTACGGTGAGGGTTTTTGTCTTTCTGATGTTGAGATTCGAAGGGTGTAGTTCTTGGTCTTCTGCAGTAAGTATTTCAAGTCATCTTCACTTTGGGCTGATAAGATTGTTATCTGCATAATACAGGTTATTGATGAGTCTTCCTTCTGATCCTGATGCCACACTCTTCTTCATAAAGCTCACCTTCTTGAATGATTTGCTCAGGAGAAAGAATTCAGTACTAACATACACCTTTTTTGATTTTAAACCATACAGTGTTTGCTTGCCCTGTTCAGATAACAGTGTCTTGGTCTAGAAGTTTCATTATGAGCACAAGTAAGAGTTCTGAGCTTTCTATTCTTCTGAGTGTTAACTATAATTTGTTATGGTCCACACACTCAAATGTCTTTGCAGTTAATTAAAAAAAAATTAAAAAAATAAACATCCTACTTGAGTTCTCTGCAATTAGCCAAGACGTAACTAACATCAGCCGTGATATCTCTGGTGCCATAGCCTCTTCTAAATCCAGCTTGAATTTCTGGCAGTGTTCTGTTGATAGTCTGTTTCAGCTGTTTTTGGATAATCTTTAGCATGATTTTACTTGCATGTGATACTAATAATATTGTTTGATAGTTTCTACATTTTATTGGATCATCTTTTTTTGGAATGGAAACAAAGATGGATCTTTTCCAGTCAGTTGGCCAGGTAGCTGTCTTCCAAATTTTTTTGGCATAGAGTGGTAAGCATGTTCAGGGCTACAGCTACAGTTGGTATCCCATCAATTCCCGGACCCTCATCATTTGCCAGTGTCTTCAGTGTAGTTTGATTCCTGATCATATGGTACTTCCTGAAATGATTCTGTGTCAGCCAGTTCATTTTTATATAGTGGTTCTGTGTATTCGTCATCTTTTCCTGTTTTTTTGATAGTTTAAGATTTTGCTTACAGCATCCTTCAGTATTGTGACTTGAGGCTTGAATTTGTTTTTAATTTTTCTCAACTTCAG